GGCTCCCGGAGCGCCTGGCTCCCCGCCGGGAGGCCGCTTGGGGGCCGAGCGGCGGCGGCGGCGGCAGGAAGGCCCGGAAAAGCGGAGCCCGCTGAAGTCCTGGGGGGTCGCATGCATGCCTTTCTCTCCTCGCTCCGCGCCAGGGTTTCCCTTCTCGCTCGATTTCCTCTCCTCTCTCCCTCTTCCCCCCCCCGTCCCACCCCATCTGATGTTGTCCCCATATTCCATTTGTTGTAACGAGGGGATCTAGTGTAGCAAACCGTCTCAAGGACCTTGCAAAGGTAACGTGTCTACTACTTGGATGGCGCCCCTGTGATTCTAAACTTCCCTATCAGTTCAACGGGACAAGGGGGGGGGGAGAGGGGGGGATGCCGTAAACTGAATGTAAATATGTCGCTTAAAACCGATTGGGTGGGGAGAAAAGTTGTTTGGTTTTTTCCCCCTCTTTCTCTTCGTTGTCACAGCTGCCGAAGCTGGTTGGGTTTAATTTGGGCTCAGACCAATTTGTACGTATGGCAAAAATGAACAAGGGTTTGTTTGGAACGAGCCGCAGTGGAAAGCAGCGAACACGATCCAGTCAAGGTTAAGGCTGTACGTTCTCTGCACATTTTCCTGGAAGTCAGCCCCGCTCTAGACAGTGGGGCTGGCTGCTTCCGAGTAGACATTATAGACATGCCCTGCAAGGTATCAGCCCTCTCTGTATTGTCTTAGGACTCAATTCCTTGGAACCCTGCCGTCTTTACTTCCGAGAAAGTACTGTATTACAATTGTAGCCGGTTTATCCCGCTTATTTCTGACGCAGGAGATCTGAACCAAACGGGGCTGCTTAACTTTGGCTGAATCGTTGTGTCTGTTGAAATTTCCTTCCAAGTAACTGCGTTTGAGATTTGTGTAACTGGACAGCAAATCGCCTAAGCCGTGAACCTACTGTAAAACCGAAATATTGTCGCTTCCGGGGTATTATGGTGGACCACTGGCTAGGACGAGGTAGGGTTAGGGACACCCGCTCGGGCTCCGTCCAGCAAGCCGGGGGTGTGAATCCGACTCAAGAGCGTTTCGGGACAGAAAGGAAGCTCTTTCGAGTTTCCGATGAGATGTTCGCTCGCGCGCTTCGACGCCCTCCGATGTCATCACTGCGTCCCTAGCAGGGCCGTTTTCCTTGCAACAAGGATTTAGGACTGACGCCTGTCCATCAACCTGTTTCGCTGGGATGCTTTTGTATTCGGAAACGCCACGGCGCCGCCTTCCCAGCCTCGGGGAGGCGAGGAACCGCGGGGTGCGCTGCCTACCGCCGGCGTGGGAATCCCGGCTGCCCCCGAGCGACGCGAGGGGAGCCTCGGCCCTTTCCCTCTCTCCGACGCCACGACACCCAAGCCTCTCCGGGTCCCGCCAGACCCCTCTGCATGCCCCGCTCGGACCGGACCCTCCTGCCTTCGGTCTCGCCTCCTTCGGCGCTCAGCTGGAAGCTCTTTTGGTAGGGCCTCACACAGACAATGACGTGTCTTTATTTTTTATATATTCTTGAGAACTATCGATATATTTATTATCATTGGCCGGTGTTTCTTCTAGGTGCCGTTTCAAATTAAAACAAAAGAAAACCGAAGCCATCCCAACCACGGCATTCGTGTGTCCGTTTCCTCCCCTCGGCTGGTTTTATGCCTTCATCGGAAAAGAAGCTCGCGGGGCTGGGACAGCGGAGAGGAAGCGGAGGGGTCTGGAAAAGCGGAGATTGGTGGGGTGTGTGTGTGCGTGCTAATTCTGCTTTGGAGCAAATGGGGTTTCAAAGCCGGAGGGAGAAAAACGTGGGCAGAGGTCAATCTTGTAAAGCACTGAGAGGGATGGGGGGGACTCCTCTCCCCAAAATCTGAGGGGAGGGGGCTCGCGTCGATCAAGAGCCGTCTATAGCTGAATCCAATTTAGCCCAGTTTCAGTAGACCCTTTGATAAGGAATTACTAGTGAACAGCTGTAAATGCCACTGATTTTAAAGGGTTTGCTTTACTTTATTTATTTATTTATTTAAAATATTTTTACCCCGCCTTTCTCCTTAAACCAAGGCGGCTTAACACTGGATTTACTGACTTGTTATTGCTTGGGTCTTATTTTTCAATATCAAAGTAAAACTCTCCGACTTTAGTGACTGGACTTTACTAAAATTGGATTTAGCTCCCTCTAAGTAAATACCATCAAAGTTCAACTGGAACTTTTCTTTTAAAGGCTTATTTCGGGGCAAATTTCCTTCAGATCGGTGGGACTTACTTCTGATTAAAAAATGAAAGTTTCGGGCTGCACATGTAAACATTAGGTTTGGATTTTAAAAAAAAATAGTTCATTGGAAAGGAAACACTGTTGAAATCAAAGCATAGCTATCGAGATATGCATTAAAACATTCAAATGTAGGCTTTAAATCTGAAGATTTTTATGTGTAAACTCTCAAGAGTGTCTCCCTCGATTCGTTATAAAAATAGCTAATTCCCCGCATCCTATTTATTTTGTATGCCAAATTACTGGAAGGGTAAGTACTTGGTTTTCTTTTGAAACAGGACCAAAATGTTTGTGAATTCTTAATGCCCATTAAATGACTGCAGCCCCTACACAATAGACATACTTGGTGAAAAACAAATGCAGGGCAGCCAGAGGAAATAATAAATCACTGTTCTTTGTATCCAGAAGCGAGGGTGCAGACAAAAAATCTGAAATATAACGAGGGTTTTTTTTTTTTTCAAAATCACTCACTGCCAAACCGAAAACTCCAGTTCCATGCATAGACAGATGGAGACACAGAAAAGACATTTTAAATGAATGAAAGGCACCCTGCAAACTTAGAACTCTCATCCCAAGAACAAACAGACAACATCCCACTCGTGTGTAAGAAAGTTTCGGTTCCTAAGGCTGTTGAACGAACTCTGAATTCAGTATTGTTCAGAGGAACCCTGAAATATATTATGGTCGCAGCGATTGGCGTCTTTTTAAAAAAAATGCTGCGATTTGTGGATGAACTTAGAAGAAATACGGAGGAGGAGAGCGTTTGAATGGCCGGTGAACTGCATCAATTGATTGGTTCCCGTCAGTAGCCAATGCCCTTCAGCCCTACGCCTGGACCGTCTTCTACTGGCCCCCGATTCTGACTCGAGCTAGTCCCGCGTCACTCGGCGGAAAACTTGGGACTTCTTCTAGTGTTTTGCTAAAGGGAGGGTTTTGTGTTTTTTTTTTACTTTGAATTCACGTTTGCCTTTCCTGGGGTTGAGAGAAAAAGGGGCGGGGAGAGGAAATCACTGTTTTTTTTTTTTTTTGTTTTTTGTTTTTTTTTTATGGAGGTGCTGTCCACATACCTCTTTATCCGGAGCTATCTGAAAGCCGTTTTTAGTGTAGAAGGGGTAGGCAGAAAGCTAAAACCTAACATAAACTGCCTTCTTAAATGCGCAAGGCGCCGCCGAAATTGGTTAAATTCATAGTAGGTCACCAACATTTAAAAGAAAGAGGCTAATCTCCGTTGATAAGAGGCGCCCTGTTAACCGGTAAAGAGAGACGATATTTCGGATTTATCGTTTAAACAGAAAATAAAATACTGACAAGAGGGAGGGAGTTGAAGAATTAGGAGATCGGGATATAACAGCAAGCTTACAGTTTTGGTGTTATTTGGTTGAGGCTCCTAAAAGCTCAACCAAATATGGATTTAGAGTTTTATTTTTATTTTTTTTGGACGGACCATCAGTGCTTACTTTGTTTTCAGTACCATCAGTAATTCGACACTGGTTCTCCATTCTCCCTTTGCATCTTGCCAATACTGTATTTTGTTTTTCATAGGTGTTGTTCACCAGACAACGAGCGTTACACGGTCAGAATTAGGAACCTGTGACGTATATTGATCTCAGTGGGAAAGTTTTGGGCATGACTTCCTTTTTTTTAGAAAAATGGCAAACAGAAAAAAAAAACCCAACAACCTCTTTCCACTGCAATCAATAAACCAACATCGCTTAGTGGTAGAGGGGAAATCCAACTGTTCTCTCTCTTCTCTCATAGGGCTCCTGTTTTACCTTAAATAACAAAACAAATACGGTCTTAGTTGACATTGAATACACACACACACACATTACATATTCATATATACACATTACGATATATATATATTTCCCGGGGGGAAAATCCTGTTCTCTATCTCTTCAAAAGAAACCAATTTAAATTTGTAATCCTGACACACATTTAGGAATAAGGCCCTTGAACGCAATGGAGCTACTTCTGAGTAGGCATGCACACGATCTCGCTGCTAGTTGATATGGAAACATGCGCTCTGGCCTAAGCAGCGCCCTTAACCAGGCACGAATTATTTCGGAGTCCTGTAGTTATCTCTAATTTAATGGCTTGCTTTAACTGTGTTACTTCTTTATTTGAAAGTTGCCTTTTGAGAGACTCCCCCCCCCCCAAGGCGGGATATAATTAAATACGAACATAGAGATGTAAGGGAAAGTGACAGGAAGAAGCAGGAGAAGCGAAGAAGTCTCCTGCACGGCCGTCTTGCGGCCACTGCCGACTTGGAAAACGTATCAAGCGCCCCTTCCACCCGAGACTCAAAACTGACGAGCAAGTGATCCCGTGGGCCCTTTGGCGTTCGGCGACCAGAGACCAGAAACTGCTTCCTGCACGTGGTCCCGGATAAAGTGGTTGCAACAGAGAATTATGAAAAGGAATGTAACTGTCCTCTGTGTGCGTGTTGTGTATGTATGAGACTGACCGAGTAACATGGGAGGGGGGAAGGGAGAGACCCCTACCATCAGCCGTGCAGATGCGAGGTCGAGCACCCGAGTGAGGCTGGATGAGTGCTGCTGACCCGAACACGGTGCTCAGCGCCTAAACCCTTTCTTCCTATTTCCTGGGCCTGTGTTCTTGCAACTATGAAGAACGAACGAAGAAAAGATGTCTCTGGTGGAAATTATTTTCCCCCTCCCCAACCCCCAACCCCGCCACCCTGGTCCCACAAACTCTTCCCATAAAGACAATGCTATTTCTTTCGCGATTTGGTATTCCGAATTAGAAATGCAACAAGCTCAACGGGCGCACGCCCAGACCAGGATTTGTACAATCCACCACCTAGCTTTGCAGCCTAAATGAGATATAAAAGCAAGGAGAAAATCCGGCTGGAAAAGACACAGCCCGAGGGACATTGTTTTAGTTGTTCAGCTGGTTAATGAACCGGCTTAATTAAAGTTCTAAAGGAGCCGTTCAAACTTCTCCGAATTTGCAACCTCCGGTTCGGGAGTCGATAAGGTTATCAGCCTCCCGGTTCCCAGACAATGGGCTTTCCTTCTCAGTTTTTTGCAATGGTTGCAGCACATTTTTAATTCTCAATCTAACAGAGAGAGTTCGCATTAGAACAGCAACCGCATTACTCTCGTTTTGTAGTCAAAACAAAAACATAGGCTTAGCAGACCAATAAAATTTAAAAAAATATAGCAGTTAGTCTTTAAGGTGCCACCACGTCTTCTTCTTCTTCTTCTTCTTCTTCTTCTTCTTCTTCTTCTTCTTCTTCTTCTTCTTCTTCTTCTTCTTCTTCTTCTTCTTCTTCTTCTTCTTCTTCTTCTTCTTCTTCTT